GAATGGAAAAGCAAATGGATTTTATGGTTATGGACCCCTTATTAAAGAAATTATGTAATTATAATAATATTGTAATATTTTATTAATTAAATATTTTGTGATATTTTTCAAAATAATTTTAAATTGTGTGAAAAAGTAAATGAACTTTTATTAAATAAGTGTGTGCATAAATGTTGTTTAAACTTAAATGACTGTTCCTAAAATCGTTTTTAACAACATTTATTTTTAATAAATATAATTTTACAGTATTTTCAAAATTGCACAATTGATAGGATTTAAAAATTCAAATTAAAATACTAGTAATTGCACAATAACTTTTTAAATAATAGATTCATTGTAACAGTTGCGATCAAAACTTTTATCATTAATCGTGTAGGTTTTACTGTACATGAATCATATTAATATACTAATTATTGCGCAATCACTTTTTAAATAATTGATTTAATTGATGGTAGATTAGTTGTGAGCATAAAAACAATTAATTAATAATTCATTTATGAAATGTGTTATATAGGAAGACATTACACATTTTAATTAAAAGGTGGTATTTAATATAACAGACATCAATGAGTTGAATTATTCTGAATTGGGATTTCAAATGAGCTTAAGTTTTAAAATTTATGTAGATATATTTTTAAAACTTAAATACAATGAAACTTGGTGATAAACTGTGTATGATTTGCGGTGGAAGCAAATTAGTTGGTAAGTATAATTCTATTAAACCTTGCTAAGTTTATTAAATATATTAATTCATTTATTTAAAATTATAAATACAAATTTATTTTATATTAAGGCAGGTACTTTGGTGCCATTACTTGCGATTCGTGTAAATCATTTTTCCGGCGAATGGCCCTTAAAAATATTGTATATACTAAACATATTTTGTAAAACAATTGTAAATTTAACATGGTATATTGTTTTTTAAATAGCAAGTAATATGCCTAAATGATGGTAACTGTAATATAATTGCAAATCCTAGAAAACTGTGTCAAAAATGTCGACTCGAAAAGTGTTTAGCCGTGGGAATGAGAAAGGTCAGTTTGTAATTTTTATAATAAAAATAGTAAACATTTATTATATAATAGGAACTCATAAGAGATGTGAAAGAAAACGAAAGGAGAAGACAATTGATTAGAGAAAACAAATTAAAACAACAAAATTGTATTCATTACTCAAATACGAGTCCAGAATCTAATGATTGGCCGGAAACTAGTGATGAAAACAGTACTTCCAGTGAATGTCCATCACATCAATCATTAGATATTATTTACAATAACTTTCAAAATGTTTTAACAAACAGTAAATTATCACTGAAAACTACAAACGTTTATGACTTGAATCTGTCGGTCATACCTGTTATGAAACCCATCACTGATTATAACAATCAGTTCAATGAATTAGAGGGCAATCGGTTGACTGAACTGTTGGATGCCCTCAAGATTATGATGAACCCAATGGTCAACGTTAATGATAATGAAATGAACGCTTATTCTGTCGATCCCTTCAATTTGATACTTCGGTATCAGGAGAATGGTCTCCAAAATACTGTCAAAATGGCCAAACGTTTGAACGCATTTAAATCGCTGTGTGATCATGATCAATTGACTTTAATTAAATACGCGTCAATTGAGATCGTTGTCTTGCGAATAATTTTAAATTTTGACTTTAATGAATTATGCTGGTCATTTAACATAGTATGCATTTGTTGTTAAACATATTTTTGTTCTTTACTTTTGTTCATATTTGTATATAATTGATTTATTACCAGAATAATCACAATCATATCATAAAACTTTATGCATTTCGGGACACAAAATATTGTATATCCAACATAAAGCCTCATAATGTTAATCACAAAACATTCCTGGAAAACATGGCACTTGAATGGAACTCCGATGTTATTATAATTGACCTGGTATTATTATTAATTTAAAAATTTTATCAATTTCTAAAAATATAGTTTTATTTTATATTTATATCAATAGTTAAGTGCTATTATACTGTTTAATCCGAATCGACCTAACCTCATTAACAAAACTGCCATAAAGTGAGTTATTTTGTTTATAAATTATTATCATATAATTTAGTATATTATTATATTATAATTATCTATATTAATATAATTTATTTTTGATACAAATATAGATTACAGTATTATATTTATGTTCATTTACTTCAACGGTATCTACAATTGAGATATAGATCTGATATAGTATCCAGGTGCAAACTTGTAAATTTAATCAAGAAATTAAACTTTTTGCATATTATTAATCTGAAAATGAAAGAGAATTTTATGAAAACTGACTTAAGATTTGTTCCGCTTTTAAAAGAGTTATGTAATCGTAACTAAAAAGTTTGTATTTGTGTTGTTAATAGCTGTTAAGTATCGTTGAAATATTATTGTTATAAAATACAATAGTTTATAATTAATTAATTGTCTTTTTATTTATTGTATTCTAATTTAATATATTTTTTATAACAATTCAACAAGATAATAAAAGCATTTAGAAATTATTGTATTTAATGCTATTTAGCAATAATCACACAAATAATACCAACACTTAGAATATAAGGTACACTATTATTAATAATTTTCTAATATCACTAGTATCCAAGGTTATTTATAGATAAAGTATATAATGGAAAATGTAATACAATTGAAATAAAATATTGTTGTAAAATAACAGGGTATTACCCCAGTTAAATTGTATGTATTTTATCAAGGCCGCTCAATAAACTAATGTGACTTGAATATGTTGTAAAGTATATGTCCATGATAATTTTTATCTACAAAATCGGATTATTTTATATCCAGTAAGGTATCAAAATAAGTTCCAAAAGCTTACAATTTCATTACAAATAATACATTTATTTTTTGTGATGGTTTTCAAAATGTTTTCAAATTTTATAACAAAAGTATATAAACAATACTACAGTATATTAAAACATGATAAAATAGAAATATTTAGCAAAAATAAACCAATAGTGGACCGACTTTTGACTGAATGGCAAAACGATTCTGTTATTATGGAATTGGTATTCAATAAATATACTGTAGTTTTTATTATGACACATTAAATTTATATTTATAGTTAACAGCAATTATAATATTTAATCCAAACGCACCGAATGTAACACATAGAAATACAGTATTGTAAAGTAAGTTGCCTATTTATATCATGAATAACATTAAAACTAATTATATATTTCTTTGTACTACTTGTAAGACTGGAGCAGCAATTATACATATATCTACTACAGAGGTATCTATTATTAAAGTGTGGATCGGATACAGAATCGCAATCAAAACTACAGAAACTAATGATTTCATTGTTTGAATTAATTTCAATGAGAGAATTGCATCTAAAGGATATGGAAAGCTATGTACATCTCTATGGACCCCTTTTTAACGAGATTTTCCCACACAATCAGATATTATAAATTATTACTAATCAATACTTAATGATTAGAATAAATATATACTGAATATATAAATTATATGAATAACTTATGAAAATAATTTTCATTATATTTATAACTAATAGTTGGCTGCAATCATACTGTTTAATCCCAATGTACCGGATTTAGCACAGAGGAATACCATTATGTAATTTTAATTAACATACTCCATGCTTTGTAATAATCTTTATTTTTTATTTGACAGACTCGAACAACAATTGTATATTTATTTATTACAACGATATCTACATTTGAAATATAAATCGGGATCGCACTCCAAACTTCAAAACCTTGATGACATTATTGTGTGAAATTAAGTCTATGTGTTATAGACAAAAAATGAATGTAAAAGCAAATGGATTTTATCGCTATGGACCCCTTATTAAAGATATTATGTAATTACAATAGTATTGTAATATTTTATTAATTAACTATTTTGTGATAGTTTTCAAAATAATTTAAAATTGTATAACAATATTATATATGAACAATATTATATTAAATACGTGTGTGCATAATTGTTTAACTTAAATGCCTCATTTTATAATAATTTCATTTTCTAATAACATTTATCTTTGATATAATTTTATTTTTAAAATTTCACAATTGATAGGACTTTTGTTTTAAATACTATCTTATGAATCAAATTAAAATACTACTAATTGCATAATAACCATTTATATAATTGATTTTTTTGTAACAGTTGCACTCAATATTTTATCATTAATCGTGTAGGTTTTACTGTACTTGAATCAAATTAATATACTAGTAATTGCATAAGAGCATTTTAAATAATTGATTTAACTCATGTTATAAAGGAAATTTTTACACTTTTTAATTGCAAGGTGGTATTTAGTTTAGCAAGCATTAATGAAATGGATTAGTTTGAATTTAGATTTCAAATGATCTTAAGTTTTAAAATTTATATAACTATTTTTTAAAACTTAAATACAATTAATATGGATCTTGGCGATAAGTTGTGTAAGATTTGCGGTGGAACCAAGTTAGTTGGTAAGTATAATTCTGTTAAACCATGCTAAGTTTATTAAATATATTAATTTATTTTATTTATAATTATAAATTTAATTTATATTAAGGCAGGTACTTTGGTGCCATTACTTGCGATTCGTGTAAATCATTTTTCCGGCGAATGGCCCTTAAAAATATTGTAAATACTAAACATATTGTTTGAAACAATTGTAAATTAAACATGGTATATTGTTTGTCAATAGCAAGTAATATGTATAAATGATGGTAACTGTAATTTAACAGTAAATCCCAGAAAACAGTGTCAAAAATGTCGACTAGAAAAGTGTTTATCCGTGGGAATGAGAAAGGTCAGTTTGTAATTTTTATAATAAAAATAGTAAACATTTATTATATAATAGGAACTCATAAGAGATGTTAAGGAAAACGACATAAGAAGACAATTGATTAGAGAAAACAAATTAAAACAACAAAAATGTATTCATTACTCAAATACGAGCCCAGAATCTAATGATTAATTATATAATAGGAACTCATAAGAGATGTTAAGGAAAACGAAATAAGAAGACAATTGATTAGAGAAAACAAATTAAAACAACAAAAATGTATTCATTGCTCAAATACGAGCCCAGAATCTAATGATTGGTTGAAAACTAGTGATGAAAACAATACTTCCAATGAATGTCCATCACATCAATCATTAGATGATATACTAAATTATTGACAGACAGGCGTTATTAGTTTAAATAAAAATTGATTCATGTGCTATTCTCCATAAGTTTATATGAAAGTATAACTGATATTATTAATAAGTTGACCCAGCTCTAACGCCTGTATGTGAATGATTTAGTCATATTATTTACAATAACTTCCAAAATGTTTTAACAGACAATGAATTATCACTGATAACCACAATGGCGTATGACTTGAATCTGTCGGTCATACCTGTTGTGAAACCCATCACTGATTATAACAATCAGTTCAATGAATTAGAGGGCAATCGGTTGAGTGAACTCTTGGATGCCCTCAAGATTATGATGAGTCCTGTGGTCAACGTTAATGATAATGAAATAAACGCTTATTCTGTCGATGCCTTCAATTTGATACTTCGGTATCAGGAGAATGGTCTCCAAAATACTGTCAAAATGGCTAAACGTTTGAACACATTTATATCGTTGTGTGAGCATGATCAATTGACTTTAATTAAATACGCGTCCATTGAGATCGTTGTCTTGCGAACAATTTTAAATTTTGACTTTAATGAATTATGTTGTCCATTTAACATAGTATGCATTTGTTGTTAAACATATTTTTGTGCTTTACTTTTATTCATATTTGTATATAATTTATTTATTACCAGAATAATCATAATCATATGATAAAACTCCATGTATTTCGGGACACAAAATATTGCCTGTCCAAATTAAAGCCTCATTATGTTAATGTCGTAACATTCCTGGAAAACATGGCACTTGAATGGAACTCCGATGTTATTATAATTGACCTGGTATTATTGATTTAAAAATTTTTAAAAATTTTAAATATAATTTTATTGTATATTTATATCAATAGTTAAGTGCTATTATACTATTTAATCCGAATCGACCCAATCTAATTAACAAAACTGCCATAAAGTGAGTTATTTTATTTATATTATCATATAATTTATTATATTATAATTATCTATATTAATATAATTTATTTTTGATACAAATATAGATTAGAGCATTATATTTATGTTCATTTACTTCAACGGTATCTACAACTGAGATATAGATCGGATCATCATAGGTCCACGTTTGAACATTTAAATTAATTCTTTAATTTGTAAAACGTATAATAATTAGTCTTTTTGCTTTGGTAAAAAATGAAAACTGACTTAAGATTTGTTCCGCTTTTAAAAGAGTTATATAATCGCGACTAAAAAGTTTGCATTTGTGTTGTTAATAGCTGTCAAGAATCATTGAAATATTATTGTTATAAAATACAATTGTATTATAACTTAATATATTTTTTATAATTTCATAATCAATTTTATAATCAATTCAACAAACTAATAAAAGCATTTAGAAATTATTGTATTTAATGTTATTTAGCAATAACTACACAAATAATTGCATAAATTATTTTAAATTATATAACAGAAGTATATAAACAATACTATATATTAAATATGAGTGTAAATGCAGGTCCTTAATATTATTTTTAATAACATTTTCAAATATAATTTTATTATTTTACATTCTACAATTAATAATATTTAAAAATATAATACTGTAGTGACCTAGAATCAAATGATTTATGTTTATAAATCTAAAGTCTAAACGATCTTGTTTATAAAATTATTCCCTGTTAAAAGTTTACATAACTTTTGATTTACAGTAAAATGTCAAATAACTAAAGGGTATAAAAGTAATAAAAATAATGATGTTTATAACTAAACATATTTTGTAAATCTATATAAACTAGCACACAAACTGTATTATCTATTAATTATCTATTATTATTGTAATAAATCACAGTTATATTCATTGTATTTGTGACAAAATGAAAGTTATATTTAAAGCTCACATATATTATACATCCATTTTAAGGCACCGGCCTTAAAGGCCGATAGCCTAACCTCTCGACCACTTCAATACTATCAGTATACTACGATATGAAATTAATACTATGGATCATATTTATATACAGTAATTGCATAATATTATTTAAAATATTTTTTTTGTAACAGTTGTTACTATGAACCTTATCATTAATCCTGTAGGTTTTAGTGTACTCAAGCACTACACCTAAAGTACTGAATATCTAAATAATGGCAATGTTAGATTAGTTGTTAGCATAACAACAATATAATAATAATTCATAACATGAAATGTGTTATAAACGGAAAACATTATTCATTTTCAATGAATTTTGGTGTTATTTAGTTTAGCAGAATCAATGAAATTGATCATTTTGAGTTGTTTCAAATCAGTTTAAGTTTTTTAAGTATATATAAATATTCTTTAAAAATTAAATACAATGAATATGGATCATGGTGATAAGCTGTGTAAGATTTGCCGTGGAACCAAGTTAGTTGGTAAGTATAATTCTATTAAACCATGCTATGTTTATTAAATATATTAATTTATTTTATTTATAATTATAAATTTAATTTATATTAAGGCAATAAGCTGTGTAAGATTTGCCGTGGAACCAAGTTAGTTGGTAAGTATAATTCTATTAAACCATGCTATGTTTATTAAATATATTAATTTATTTTATTTATAATTATAAATTTAATTTATATTAAGGCAGGTACTTTGGTGCCATTACTTGCGATTCGTGTAAATCATTTTTCCGGCGAATGGCCCTTAAAAATATTGTAAATACTAAACATATTGTTTGAAACAATTGTAAATTAAACATGGTATATTGTTTGTCAATAGCAAGTAATATGTATAAATGATGGTAACTGTAATTTAGCAGTAAATCCCAGAAAACTGTGTCAAAAATGTCGACTAGAAAAGTGTTTATCCGTGGGAATGAGAAAGGTCAGTTTGTAATTTTTATAATAAAAATAGTAAACATTTATTATATAATAGGAACTCATAAGAGATGTGAAGGAAAACCAAATGAGAAGACAATTGATTAGAAAAAACAAATTAAAACAACAAAATTGTATTCATTACTCAAATACGAGCCCAGAATCTAATGATTGGTCGGAAACCAGTGATGAAAACAGTACTTCCAGTGAATGTCCATCACATCAACCATTAGATGATATTATTTACAATAACTTTCAAAATGTTTTAACAAACAGTGAATTATCACTGAAAACCACAAACGTTTATGACTTAAATCTGTCGGTCATACCTGTTATGAAACCCATCTCTGATTATAACAATCAGTTCAATGAATTAGAGAGCAATCGGTTGAGTGAACTCTTGGATGCCCTCAAGATTATGATGAGTCCTGTGGTCAACATTAATGATAATGAAATAAACGCCTATTCTGTCGATCCCTTCAATTTGGTACTTCGGTATCAGGAGAATGGTCTCCAAAATACTGTCAAAATGGCTAAACGTTTGAACTCATTTAAATCGTTGTGTGAGCATGATCAATTGGTTTTAATTAAATACGCGTCCATTGAAATCGTTGTCTTGCGAATAATTTTAAATTTTGACTTTAATGAATTATGCTGGTCATTTAACATAGTATGCATTTGTTGTTAAACATATTTTTGTGCTTTACTTTTATTAATATTTGTATATTATTTATATATTACCAGAATAACCACAATCATATGATAAAACTCCGTTTATTTCGGGGCACAAAATATTGCCTGGGCAAAATAAAGCCTAATTATGTTAATGTCAGAACATTCCTGGAAAACATGGCACTTGAATGGGACTCCGATCTTACTATAATTGACCTGGTATTATTGATATAAAAATTTTAATTTTTTAAAATATAATTTTATTGTATATTTATATCAATAGTTAAGTGCTATTATACTATTTAATGCGAATCGACCCAATCTAATTAACAAAACTGCCATAAAGTGAGTTATTTTATTTACACTATCATATAATTTATTATATTATAATTATCTATATTAATATAATTTATTTTTGATACAAATATAGATTAGAGCATTATATTTATATTCATTTACTTCAACGGTATCTACAATTGAGATATAGATCGGATGTAGTATCCAGGTGCAAACTTGTAAATTTAATCACGAAATTAAACTTTTTGCATATTATTAATCAGAAAAACGAAACCATTTTAATGAAAACTGACTTAAGATTTGTTCCACTTTTAAAAGAGTTATATAATCGTGACTAAAAAGTTTGTATTTGTGTTGTTAATAGCTGTTAAGAATCATTGAAATATTATTGTTATAAAATATAATAGTTTACAATTAATTATTTGTCTTTTTATTTATTGTATTATAACTTAACATATTTTTTATAATTTCATAATCAATTTTATAATCAATTCAACAAACTAATAAAAGCATTTAGAAATTATTGTATTTAATGTTATTTAGCAATAACTACACAAATAATACCAACAATTTGAATATATAACTAGTATCCAAGGTTATTTATGGATGTATAATGGAAAATATAATACAATTGAAATAAAATATTGTTGTAAAATATTTTGTATCTTATTGGTTATTGGGTATAACCCCAAATAAATTGAATGTATCTTATCAAGGTCCATATGCCCATAATAATTTTCATTTAAAAATTATTGGTAACTCCGATTATTTGATGTTCATAAAGGTATCAAAATAGGTACCAAAACCTTACAATTTCATCACAAATAATGTATTTAATTTTGTGATAATTTTCAAAATTATTTTAAATTATATAACAGTAGTATATACACAATACTATATATTAAATATGAGTGTAAATGCCGGTTTTTAATATTATATTTTAATAACATTTTTAAATATAATTTTTATTGTTTTAAATTCTACAATTAATAATATTTAAAAATAAAATACTATCAGTATACTACCATATAAAATTAATACTATGGATCATATTTATGTACAGTAATTTCACAATATTATCTAAAATAATTTTTTTGTAACATTGTTATTATGAATCTTATCATTAATCCTTTAGGTTTTAGTGTACTCAAGCACTACACCTAAAGTACTGAATATCTTTTACCGGCAATTTTAGATTAGTTGTTAGCATAACAACAATATAATAATAATTCATAATATGAAATGTGTTATAAACGGAAAACATTACTCATTTTCAATGAATTTTGGTGGTATTTAGTTTAGCAAGAATTAATTAAATTTATGAATTTGATTTGTTTTAAATCAGTTTAAATTTTTAAAATCTATATAAATATTTTTTAAAACTTAAAAAATATCAATATGGATCTTGGTGATAAACTGTGTATGATTTGCGGTGGTAGTAAGTTGGTTCGTAAGTATAATTCTCCTCAACCTTGCTAAGATTAATTAATATTTCTATAAGACTAAATTTAATTTATATTAAGGCAGGTACTTTGGTGCCATTACTTGCGATTCGTGTAAATCATTTTTCCGGCGAATGGCCCTTAAAAATATAGTAAATACAAAACATATTGTTTGAACTAATTGCAAATTAAACATGGTATATTGTCTATTGANAATTAAACATGGTATATTGTCTATTGATATTCTAGCAACTAAAATGCTCAACTGATGGTAAATGTAATATTACAGCAAATCCTAGAAAATTGTGTCAAAAATGTCGACTCGAAAAGTGTTTAGCCGTTGGAATGAGAAAGGTCAGTTTGTAATCTTTATAATAAAAATAGTAAACATTTATTATTTAATAGGAATTCATAAAAGACGTGAAGCAAAACGAAATGAGAAAACAGTTGATTAGAGAAAGCAAATTAAAACAACAAAATTGTATTCATTACTCAAACACTAACACAGAACCTAATGAACAGAATATGCAAATTGAAAGTTATGTTACAAATAGCGATAATAACAATAATTTGATACAAGACTCGTTTCCATTGGCTATCCTTCCTATGTTCCAAGAAATTACTGATTACCATGGATTGAATCAATCACATTGTGATCGTATATTGCAACTATTTAAAGCATCTAGCATAATTGATTACCCGCTTTCTACAAATGTCGTAGAAATAAGTGATCGAAATACTGTATTTTCTTTAAATGAATTAAATGTAACTGGAGGTGAACAACATGTCAGAAATATTGTCAAGCTAATAAAAGGGTTGAATGGATTTCAAAATATTTGCCAACATGATCAGTTATTATTAGTACAGCATGGTTGTCTTGATTTAATTATATTACGATTTATGAAATATTTTAATCAAGATACTGAAAGTTATATATTCCCAATGGTATGATGTCTCACTAACCCACTCATATATACACACACATGCAATAAATTTTAGTTAATTTTAAATTTATTTTAATTATTAGGGTACTGGCATATCTCTTAGCGTGCCATTAAAAGTAAGAATACAAAAAAGTGAGCAAGCATATTGCTACGTAAAGCAATTCTTAAACAGATTTCTATGCGAATGGCAACGTGATAATATTATTATGGAATTGGTAACTA